TCAGGCAATCCACTCACCTCAGCCTCCCAAAGGCGTGGGATTACAGGCTGAGCCACCTGAGCTTTATTCTTTTCTTAATTCCAGTTTGAGCCAGTTTCTGCAGCCAGGTCCTTGAATACAATGGCAGATGCTTTGCGTCTCTGCTCTTGTTTCCTTCCCTAGGAAGCTGCTAGCACTGGAGCCCCTCACTCATATCCAGATCAAAAGAGAATCTAATTAGGCCCCGTCTTGGGCCTATCCAATATTGCTGCCTAGCTAGAGGAGCAGGGTCCCATCAGTAGGTTGGCATTTTTTAATGTTTTGCACTGTTGACTACTTCCTTCAGGTTGTACTGCTTCCTTAGCTTCCATGATGTAACATTTCTCAGGCCATTCCTTCCAGGTTTCTTTGCACTCAGTCTCTAGCTGTGGGGCATTAAATGTTGTGGCAAGCCCCCTTCTCTCATGGGCCATGTCACCCAGGACCTCTCCCATGATTATATCTCTGGCCCAGGGGTTACCTGCAGACTCCAGACTTATATACATCTACCTTCTCAAGTGCTAGTACTACTTGGAAGTCCCAAGGATACCCTAAACTCCGAGTTTCCAGAATTGACTTTAGGCTCTTCCTGCTCTCTGCTCGGTCCTCTTCCAGTGTTTCCTGTTTCTGTGAATGGCACCATTGCTCATGCAGCTGAACTTCAAAGTCATTCTTCCTTCCTTCCCTTCATCCCTTTTTTCTCTGTCCCCAGCCATGCTGATTTTTATTTTATTTTAGGCTTCATTTCCTCCCACCATAGGGCCTTTTTGTGGTTTTATTCCTTTGCCTGGAATTCTCTTCCCTTGTCACCTAGTTAATGCCTCTCATTTTTTTCTTTTTTTTTTTTGAGTTTTGGAGTCTCACTCTGATGCCGAGACAGTGGCATGCTCACAGCCTTGATCTGCTGGGCTCAGGCCATCCTTCTGCCTAAGCCCTCCAAGGAGCTGGAACCACAGGCATGCGCCACCACACCCAGCTAATTTTTTTATTTGTCGTAGAGACAAAGTCTTGCCAAGTTGCCCGGGTTGGTCTTGTACCCCTGGGCTCAGGCAGTCCTCTCGCCTCAGCCTCCCAAAGTGCCAGGATTACAGGCATGAACCTCCACGCCCGACCAGCTCTCATTTTTCTCCACAAAGCATTCTCTGACCTCCTGTCCAGATCACCTCCCATCCTCTAGCACTGTCTTTCTCAGTCTATGACCTCTTCTTTGCAGTTACTGTTATTGAAATGGTGTGTTTGTCTGTTCCACTAGAATGAAGCTCCCTGAGGGAAGAGGACCAGTCTGTTTTACTCACCACATTAACCTTGACTCCAGTAAAGATTTGTTGAGTAAATGAATTAATGAATAGAACTCCAGCCTAACTTTAGCTTCTTGGATGGATTGGGGGAGGCGGGGTTCTGTTCTTGACTCCTGTTTGTGGGGGAGAGGAAAAGGACAGGAACTTCTGTGATTCTGCCTGTTCCTTAGTCAGAGAAGACTGCATAGAAGGAAGGAGCCTGGAAGGGCAGCTAATATTTTATGACTGCTTTGTCTGTGCCAGGCTCTGTCCTACCCATTGCCCGACTGAATTTTCATAACACCCTGTGAGGTGGTTATCTTTTTACAAATAAGGACCTCAGGATTGGGGAAGTTAAGTAAAGCATGGGACGATTGCATGACTATTAAATAGGTTGAATCAAGCTCTGTCGGATCTCAAACTCTTTCTACTCTACTAGTGATATATATATATATATTTTTTTGAGTTCGGGGTCTCACTGTCACCCAGGCTGGAGTGAAGTGGCACAATCACGGTTCACTGCGGTCTCAACCTCCTGGGTTCAAGTGATTCATTTGCCTAAACCTCTTGAGTAGCTGGGATTATAGGCGCACATCAGCATGCCTGACTAATTTTTTTGTAGAGGTGAGGTCCCACTTAAAGTCTAATATGTAAAAAGTAGTGGCATGGTTGCTTCCTACTCTGACACTAGGCACCACCTCTGAAGCCCTAAGTATCCAGGGAGAAGAGCCCTGCATATTAGTTTCCTACTGTGTCTATAAAAAATATCACAAGCCGGGCTCGGTGGCTCAGCCTGTAATCCCGCGCCTTTGGGAGGCTGAAGTGAGTGGATTGCCTGAGCCCGTGGGTTCGAGACCTACCTGGGCAGCGAGACCTCATCTCTACAATAAATTAAAAAATCAGCCAGGCGTGGTAGCGCATGCCTGTAATTCTGGCTACTTGGAAGGCTGAGGCGGAAGAATCGCCGGAGCCCAGCAGGTCGAAGCTGTGGTGGCCGGGAGCATGCCGCTGCACTCCAGTCTGGGCGACAGAGTGAGACTCCAACTCAAAAAAAAAAAAAAAAATCACAAAGTTAGTGGCTTATAACAACACAAATTTACTATCTTGTAGTTCTGGAGATCAGGAGTCCAAAATGGGTCTCACTGGGCTAAAATTAAGGTATGTCAGCAGACCTGAATTCCTTTCAGTAGGGTTTAGGGGAGAACCTGTTCCTTGCCTTTTCCAGCTTCTAGAGGCTTCCTGCATTCCTTAGCTTGTGGTCTCTTCCTCCAACTTCAAAACCAGCAGCGGGTCGTTGAGTCTTTCTCCCATCACATCACTATGACACTGACTCTTCTGCCTCCCTTTTCCATGTTTAAAGAGCCTTTATGAACTGGGCTTGGTGGCTCAGCCTGTAATCCCAATGCTTTGGGAGGCTGAGGTGAGTGGATTGCCTGAGCTTGCAGGTTTGAGACCCGCCTGGGCAACTTGGCGAGACCTCATCTCTACAATAAATCAAAAAAATTAGCCGGGCGTGGTAGTGCACACCTGTAGTTCCAGCTACTTGGAAGGCTGAGACGGAGGGAACTCCAGAGCCCAGCAGGTCAAGGCTGCAGTGACTGGGAGTGGCCACTGCACTCCAGTCTGGGTGACAGAGTGAGACTCCAACTCAAAACAAAAAAAGAGCCTTTATGGCTGGGCGCAGTGCCTCAAGCCTATAATCCCAGCACTTTGGGAGGCCAAGGCAAGAGAATTGCCTGAGCTCAGGGGTTCAAGACCAGCCTGGGCAACTTGGTGAGACCTTGCCTCTACAATAAATCAAAAACTAAGCAGGGTGTGGTAGCACATGCCTGTAGTTCCAGCTACTTAGAAGGCTGAGGTGGAAGGATCACCTGAACCTAGTAGGTTGAGGCTGTGGTGGTTGCTGCTCTCCAGCTTGGTCAACAGAGTGAGACTCTGACTCAAAAAAAAAAAAAAAAAAAAAAAAGAGCCCTTATGATCACACTGGGACCCACCCAGATAATCCAGAATAATCTCCCTATTTTAATATAAATTGATTAGCAACCTTAGTCCCATGTGCTGCCTTAATCCCCTTTTCCTTGTAACTTAACATATTTACAGGTTCTAAGAATTAGGATTTGGGCATCTTTGGAAGCCTTTATTCTGCCTGCTGCACCCTGCACTACCCTCTTACCCCCAACCAGAAGAGAATAGGTGGAGACAGAAGGAGAAGAAGAGGGAGGCCAGACTTGGAAAGATAAGGCTTGCTTGCCTATATGTTTTATTTCATAGATAAATGCCAAGATAAATTAGGAGGTGTCCTTTAGTGGCTTTGGACCTTAGCAGTTTCTCTTTTGCCTCCGATTTCTGGAGCCACAAGCCTGTGGTCAGTCAGAATAGGAAGCTAGGTCCTAGGCAGAATAAATTTTGAGTAGTTCCATCAACTGGCAAGAGTCCTCCCTGCTTTTGGGAAACCTCTGCTGGGCTCATCTGCTTTCTAGACCACAGAAGATCTATTTCTAGGATAATCCCATGCCATCATATGGTGAAAGCTTCAGTTTCTTCATTTCCTTTCTATAGAGCAAATCAGAACCACTTATTATTTTCAAAGAGAGAAATCACACTAGACATACTAATTGAATATGCAGTTTCTTACATCAGAGATGTAATCAAACTGAAGAAAACACTTGGCGGATGAGTTTCTACAATTAGTTCTCCATGGAAACAACTGTCAGTATAGGCAAAAAGCAAACAACCAAAGGGAAAAAATGAATAAATTGGACCTTACCAAAATGAAAACCTTTTGTGCATTAAAGGACACTATCAAGAAAATGAAAAGACAGCCCACAGAATGGGAGACAATAATAATTTGCAAATCATATATCTGATTAACGACTTATCTTTAGAGTATACAACAACTCTTACAACTTAATAAAGACAACCTGCTCAGCTCGGTGTCTCCCGCGCTTTGAGAGACCGAGGTGAGTGAATTGCCTGAGCC